GAAATTTAAATGGCAGCTAGATCATACTGGCTAGCATCCCTGAAGATTTCCTTCCTTCCTTCCTTCCTTCCTTCCTTCCTTCCTTCCTTCCTTCTGAAACCCAAGTAGGTGTGTCAATTGTGAATCCCACCAGGTGCTAATGCCAGACCTCAAGAAGTACCTTCTTCAATAATTTTCCCTTCTTGAGATCTTCTGGTTGGGGGAAGAAGAAATGACTCCATCATATTTTATAGAAGTGACATTTATGACCATAAGAGGCATGCCAGTTTTTGATCTTGGCCACATATTTATTGCTTCCTTTGCATGGAGGGGTTTACTGAAGTAGGTTATTGAACTAATTAACTCAGGAAGCATTGGAGTTATTATGGTTACTCTGTTTTGTGCCAGAAGTGAAAGAACAATGGATGCGATGGAGGAAAGGTGGGATTCAAGAACCGTGAGAACTTGATACTGGTCCAGCCCTGGATGCTGCTAGATGCTGCTTCTCCTTATCCTTCTCCTCCACCTTTTTGATGTCCCATCTACTAACCTTCTCCTGTCCTAGTTCCCCCAAGGATAATGGGCATCATAGTCCCACCATGCTGGGACTTCACTGTGGCAAAGAGAGGACCTCATGTCAAACCTGTCAGCAATTCCTTAAAGAAGCTGCATCTCTTTACGGGCTCATGCTGTTGTTCCATTGCAATCCCAGGTAGACACATTTGATTTAAAGAGGGGCTGGCATGTCCATGTGTCTTCTGAATCCCTTGTTCTTCCTCAAATCCAGATCACTGCACAGCCATCTTTAAATATTAAAAAGACAAAGGGGTTAGCAACCTGAACTTAACAGTTACAGCAAAGAAATGCAGGTATAAATGCTTTAGTTTTCTCAGCCTCAAGAATAAATAAAGGTGGACATTGTGTATTGAATAACCCACTTACTTAGTGAACAGAAGAGCTCATATTACTTGTGATTTATGAGAAAATTGCTTACAGGTAGTCTTTGGGTTATGACCATTTGTTCAGCGACCATTCAAAGTTATGATGGTACTGAATGAATGGTTCTTAACAATGGGTCTTTGTAGTTCCAGCTGTCACAGCATCCTCATAATCATGTGATCGTGATCTGGGCACTTGGGACCCAGCTCAGGATTTCAACATCACAGTAAGTCGCAGTCAAATGATTGTGATTTCTGACATTCCCTGCCAGCTTTCCACAAGCAAAGTCAATGGGGAAGCTGGCAGAAAGTCGGAAGTCACAGTTGTGTGAAGTCCTCGCTTCACAACAGCAACCAGGACTACCGAAATTGCTGTCGCTAAGCGACACTGTCACATGACATCACACTTTCTGACTACATCACTTAACGACAATAATTCTGGTCCCAATTGCCATTATAAGTTGAGGACTACCTCTACTGATGCAACAATTATGGATGATTGTAATGAAATATGGTCACCTTTTATTGAAACGGGTGTATAAAACTTTATGTGTGTCTGCGTGTGTACATATGTATATATGCAGTGGTGCCTTGGGTCACGAACGCTTCTGTTCACGACCAATTCGGGTCACGAACAGCTCTGGTCGCAAAATTTTGCCTCCATTCGCGAATGCCAGATCGGGTCACGAACAGGATCCGTGGCCATTTTCCCTCCTGTGACACAGTCTGCGGCCATTTTCCCGCCTGTGACACGTGGTCCGTGGCCATTTTCCGCCCGACACGTGGTCGTAGGGAGGGGGACTCTCCCTCCAAGCAATAGCCGCCTCCCTGTCCTCCACGCCAGAACAGATTAATGGTAATTATATTGAACCTTATGGGAAAATTTGCTTCGGGTCGCGACCAGAGTCACGGAACCAATTAAGTTCGTGAACCGAGGTTCCACTGTATGTCTGTGTGTGTTTAAAAAAAAACTTTATAAAAAAATTCCCCCTCACCCCTGTGGGTGGTCTGTGTCTTCCTCAATCTCGGGTCCTCTACCAGAGGCCTGGGAGTTTGAGGGTTCTGCGCAGGAACTGAGCTGTTCCTAGCCCTGCACTCTTCTGGACAGAGAGTTCTGAGGTTGCTCCTGGGATCTGCTGGAGCCACTCTCCCAGCTTAGGAGTCACGGCCCCGAGTGCTCCTACCACCACTGGGA